AACTTTAAGTTTCAGTTTCTTATATTCCTCCCAACCCCCTTCAGCCTATCTGCAATACAATGTGCTGTATTTTAGAAATGTTGAACTACAAGGAAGTTATCAAACTGGGTCAAACTTTGCAACATTCCTGTGGTTTTTGGCTTTAAAACCCAACCTTTTTAGCTGTAAGGCTGGCACTCTCCAAATTGGCTCCTGGAGACTGCATTGCCAGGCCTGGCCTAAAATAAAGCCTTTGCTCACCAAATTTTAATTTCTCACTTCCTTGGGTTTTATTCTGGAGTCCAAACTACTACATCCATCTTATACATAGGTGCAAGGTATCTGAGTTTCTGCATGGGGTCCTTGGAGGACCTAGCTCTGTCTTCACTGCCAATAGTATTTAACTAACTCAGCTTCCCATAACAGTATTTTTCTGAAAATTGAATACAGATGTCTTGTGCTCTGGGTGAATGATGTGGGGATGACAGTGTGCAATGTATATACCAGTGTTGCCCCCTGATTCACATGTTCTGAAATTTAATTTTAGTTTATTTTTTCTTTTTATCCTTGAAATAAACTGGATTTGGAAATGAAAAGCCTGAAGTAAAGCCCTTTGGTACACATATTCCTCTATGTAGATGAGATCAACATTGTAGAAGACAGCCAGCTACAGAAGTCTCTGACTACAGTCTATCATTTTGGATGCTCTCTTGCAGGAAGGAGTTCCTTTCCTTGCTTATTTTTTACTCAGAAGGAGGGCAGTAGAGCAGCAGTCAATCAGTGATGATGAGGCAGGCTATATGAAATGTCCAATTAGGCGAGCCATGACAGGTGGTCTCTTGGGTCTCTTCCATTGCCTAAGCATTATTTACCTGTTTGGAGCACAAAACTGGGAGCAGAATACTTGCTGCATCTCACTTCCTGGTTTTGAAGTCCTATGGCCTGATTAGCGAAGAACCTATGAGACCCTCTAGCCACAGAATGGTGAGGATTTGGATGGGAGCCCAGAAATAGGATGGAATTGGGAGAAACCAGTTACAAGTGTTTAGAAGCAGTTCTGGTGTCTGTAGACTCAGGTATTTAAGTGGCTTCATCTCCTGATGTATTCTACCATTGGCTTTGGGTCATCCACTGTCCCTTTTTACTCCTGCTGGGAGTAAGCATGATTTTGTGTCCCCAGAACCCTGCCCTAACTATGACAGCAACAGACTGGAGTATCATCTTTGAAATTCTCTACTACCCTGGCACCTCCATTATAGGGGGCAGAGGAAGGAGCTTGGGGAGACCCTGACTCTGATGCATTTTGTAGCTGGAGCAGCAGTACTGAGCTTGGTCTCTGTTCTCATTCCAGTTAGTAGCAATATTTAGCTTCTAAAGTTTATAAATATCTGTAATGCAGGGCCTCATATCTACAACGACTCTCCTTAAACTTGTGCTTTTTTGTATTTATAGGGATTGCCTAAATTTTTGGTATATTCTCACATTTCCATTCTCATGACAGGTATTGGCAAAAGTCCTAATAATTCAGAGATGTGTAGTGATGTGGCTCAGTGGAGGAAGGCTTCCCAAACATCTGGGGAACTCCTGTGAATTACACAGAACAATGCAAAGAATTTCTGAACATACTTTTTGTTACCCACCTGCTCATAGACTATGTTTGTGAGAACAGTGATAGAAGTTTGAATTCTGACAAAAATGAAGCCAATTTAGAAGTGTTGTCAAGGGCAGAGTAAAGTGTGCTTACTAAGGACAAATTCCAGAAAAGGCTGCCTGTTAGATCCTCATTGAAAAATTCGTAAATTTGGTCATTTGCATGAACATATACAGGTGATGTCATTTGGAATGGAAAGGAATATGGGTGTCATCTCTGAATTAACAGATTATTTAATACCTTGGTTGATCATAGACATCGTTTAAATATTGAAAAGCTCTGCAATGGTCTTTACTAAGTCATGTGAAGATGTCATAAATTGAAATTGTCCAGGAATATCAATAGTTTAGGCATGAAGGGTTTTCTGCTTAGGGTGGATCAGAAGAGCATGGAAAGAATGTGGAAGTTACTGGCAGGAAACAATGTGCCAATAGCAGGACATAAAACAGAGAGCATCCTCACTAAAAGTCAGGTATTCTTAGGGCAAGCATGAAGTTAAAGGTGGCTTACTGTTTCTTCCTTGAGGTGAATAACACCAGCTCTGGTAACAATAAGTATTCCACATCTCTGTAAACCCAAGAATTCTGTGTTCTTCATTTGAGATCAAATTTTGATTATGTCTAATTATGACCCAGTGTCGTGAAAGTCAAAGTTGAATTTTTTTTGTACCAAGGATCGAACTCATGATCTCAAGCTTGCCAGTTAGGTTTTCATGCTGCTGAGCTAAATACCCAGCTCTGAAAGTGTTTTCTCTATAATATAAATGATATCAACATTGTTCCTCAGAAAATGTTGAATACTGTGGAATTTTTCTACATTTCATGGCTATAATTTTTTAAAGCAAACCAAACATGCCTTATGCAGTCTCTTTTCAAGTTTCACATTGTCTGCAACTTGTCTCAGTCAGGGTTTCTTTATTTGAGACAGTTCTGTAACTTAGGCTAGCCCCAAACTCAAGGAAGTTCCCCTGCATCAGCCTCCCAAGATATATTTATTATATCTGAATGTAAAGTGGTCACTTGGTGACACTGAGCTATAATTTGAAGCTTGTACCTGCTTTCATTGTTTATACATTTTTTACATACAGCAGTTTTCCATGCACATTTGAGTTACTATTTATGTACCATATTGGATGTTATTTATGTTTTGTTCTATGAAACCAAATGCAAATATCAAAATGCTGCTTAAGTATATTAAGAACAAAGGACTCAGTGGCCTAAATGAGATTTGAAGAGATATCATTGGTAGTACATCAAAGTGATTGATGAGATATTTGTCTGTCTCTCTGCTTTATGGATGTTGATCCTGCAGGCTCCCACTTTAAGCTCTAATTTAGAGACAGTGAATAGGGACTTTTGCACTGACTCACCACAAGAATCAGTGCTCCTATTTGGCTGTAGCCTTAGCAGTGAGTTCTAATCTAGTATTAAATTTGCTGTCTCAAAAAATGTGTATATAAAAAAATTAATGCCTGAGACATGGAATTAAGATTGAAGCAATCAGTCTCCATTCAGCTGTTTTGTTTGGATTTATTTGTTTAGTTTAGTTTTGTTTTAGTGAGACAAGTTTTCTCTATGTATATCAGCTAGATTTGAACCCTTTACAGAGCTCAGAATTGCCCTAACCTCAAAGCAGCACTCCTGTTTCAGCCTCTTAAGTGTGGGGATTATAGATATGTTATTTTTACCCCAGAAAATATTGAGGCTTGTTAACTTAGCCATGTTGTCGCTTGGCATAATAGATGCCATTTTGAGCTTTACATTTAAATGGTGCCCTGTATTTCACCCAGCAAAATGGAAAATCATTCAGGGTAGAAGTCCCGGGAGAAAAGCAAAATGAGCTGTACCTAATGAAAAAAAAATTAACCTGCTCAACAAAAGAAGCAGAATGTCATCCAAAAATTATTATAAGATTCTAGCTAAATGATTTCTAACAGGATATTTTGTGATTCTATCTTTTAAAACATCTGTAACTTTCCAGTTCAATGCCTCTTGTTTAGATCCTGAAATGGGGGTGGGGGTTCTGTATACAAGTGGTCCTGAGACCAGCTAATGAAATTCCACATTTCTCAATTGAGTTTCTTGGCTTCCTATATTGTTGTTCACAAACTCAACTCAAGCTGCAAAAACCTTTACTGACACAAGCAAACACCATGATTAAAAGGCAGTGCCACTGAAATGAAAGAATAATAGTGAAAAGGAGAGGAGAAAAAAGACAAATGCCATGTGTTATAATGCCCACCTATTTTTTTAAAATTTTATTTAAAAGGAAAAAGAGAAAAATGCAAAACAAAACAAAGTGGTGTGAGGGTACAAGTAATACAGAGCTACAAAAAAAATTGTAAGAAATCACCAGTTAATAGAATACATATTATTGAGAGAGTTGACTCCCCAGCTGTAACCCCCCGAGTCATAGAACAGAGCAGTAAAGAATGTTTCACTCCTTAACCTCCCCCTTGAAATAATCAGAGCAGGACAGGAAGGAATGCATCTGCTAGTCATTAACCACTAGATGTTCTGTCCTCTGTAAAGATAAAGATAAGTAAAGGAATGTGCTGTTCAAACGAGACCGAGTTGTACCTGGCACTCTGAGATCAGACCAGGACCCTCAGTCTCCATGGTTACTCAGCCCCAGATCCCTCGAATCAGCATCTGCCAAGTCCTGCGCCGTTCAAAATTAACCAATGCTATCTGCTTCTGTAAACCTGCTTGCTTCCCGCTTGTGCCCTTAAAAACCCTGCACAAATTCCCCTCGGGGCCCTCCGCACTCATTTGCCTGGGGGACCCCATGTGCATGGAAATAAACATTTTACTCCTCACTACGAGCTGAGTCCTTGGGGTCTCTTTCCCTGCGGCGTCGGCCTTTACATATGGAGGCCCCAGCGAGATAGCACGTCTCACGGGAGGTGACCTCGGTGGGTGAGTACGACTGGTCGCTTCTTATTTTTATTCTGAGGATCGATCTACCGGTGTTTTATGCCCTGAGCCAAACGGCTCCGACCTAGGGGCAATTTTTGCTATCTGTTTTTGTTCTCTGTTCTCTGGTGACTGGGGGACGCCCCACACGGTTTCCGTGGCTCACCGTCTGCGATAGGGCCTCCCTATCGATCTGGGGAATTTCATTCCCAATCTGTGGTCCGTCCGGGCCAATTTGGAGACACCCTCTGAGGTGACTCATCTGGGGAATTTCGATTCCCAGTCTGTGGTCCGTCCGGGCCAATCTGGAGTCACCCTGTAAGGTGGCTCGTTTGGAGTGAAACTGATGCGTGAGAGTGAAGTGGCCGGCCTGTTTGTCCTGTGTGTCGTGGGTGTTGTGATTAGTCATTTGTTGTATCGTGCTTGCGTTAACCGCCCTGTGACTATAGAACATCATGGGACAGTCGACCTCATCCCCATTGTCTCTCACCCTCGACCATTGGTCGGAGGTGTGGAAGAGGGCTCACAATCTCTCCTTGCAGGTCAAGAAGAGTAAATGGCTGGATTTCTGTTCGACTGAGTGGCCTACTTTCTCTGTGGGATGGCCACCAGAGGGGACTTTCCATCTGCCCCTCATCCTAGCAGTTAAGAACATCATCTTCCACCCCAGACAAGGGGGCCACCCTGATCAGGTCGCTTACATCTTGGTATCGCAGGACCTCAGGGAGGAACCCCCACTGTGGGTGAAACCCTTTCTTCCCCCTTCTGACTCCTCTATACCAAAGCTCTTAGCTCTGAAAGGACCTCCCGCTCCGGCTCCGGTCCTGCCCGAGTCTCAGCCTGATCTACCTCTGCTCGACTACGACCGGCCTCCTCCTTCCCAGCCGGCTCAACCTCCCCCGTATCCACTCTCTCCTCCAGCCTCCTCGTCCGGATCGAGCGCTCCTTCTCCTTCAGCACCCTCTTCACCTGAACCGAACCCCTCTTCTCCTCCGATACCCATGTCCCCTCTATATCCTCCGCTCCCTGCGATGGCTTGCTCTGGGTCTACACCTCCGGGGCCCACGGGCTCAGCCCAGAACACTCGGAGCAAGCTACGGCCTGAGGACCCAGTTTTTACCCTTCCTCTTTGCCCCTACGGGCCCATGATAGATGACGGGTCGGATGGAGGGCAGATGTCCGCTTTACAGTACTGGCCTTTTTCTACCTCAGATCTCTATAACTGGAAAAACAATAACCCTCCTTTCTCTGATGATCCATCTAAGTTAACAGGTTTAATGGATTCTATCATGTTCTCCCACCAACCCACATGGGATGACTGCCAGCAGCTTCTAGGGGTCCTGTTCACCACCGAGGAGAGAGACCGCATCCTTCTGGAAGCCCAGAAAGCTGTTCCCGGAGAAAACGGCAGACCCACCCAGAGACCAGACCTGATTGATGATTTCTTCCCCTTGAAACGCCCCAACTGGGACCCCAACTCACCTACCGGTAGGCAGCATCTTTCTATCTATCACCAGACTCTAATGGCAGGTCTCCAGGCGGCTGCAAGGTGCCCCACTAATTTGGCCAAGGTAAGGGAAGTTACCCAAGGGCCTACTGAGACTCCCTCAGTTTTTCTGGAATGCCTGATGGAAGCTTACCGGCGGTACACGCCTTTTAACCCTGAAGAGGAAGGCCAACAGGGCTCAATAGCCATGGCTTTCATATAGGGCAATCGGCTCCTGATATAAGACGTAAGCTCCAAAGGCTAGATGGTCTGCAGGACCTAACTCTGAGGGATCTTGTTAAGGAAGCTGAAAAAGTCTACTATAAACAGGAGACAGAGGAGGAAAAAGAGTTAGCTAGGGACAAAAGACGAAACAAGGAATTAGCTAAAATGTTGGCCACAGTTATTCAGGGAAAACCTGAGACAGGAAAGGGAAAGCCCACTCGCCCCCCATTAGACCCTGACCAATGTGCATATTGTAAGGAAAAAGGACACCTGATCAAAGACTGAAAAATTGAAAAAGAAACGAGCCAAAGAGGAACGAGAAAAGAAGTCCTCGCAGCGATCCCGAGCCCCCATGCTCGCCTTAGATGAAGAAGACTAGGGACTTCGGGGCTCGGACCCCCTCCCCGAGCTCAGGGTAATGTTTAAAGTGGAGGGGACTCCCGTAGAATTCGAGGTCGATACGGGAGCTGTTTACTCGGCCCTTCAGGCCCCCTTAGCGGCCCTTTCAACTAAGAAATCATTAGTTCAAGGGGCTAACAGGAGCAAATATCGCTCGTGGACTACTGAGCGTACAGTTGACCTAGGCAAGGGAAAAGTAAAACACTCCTTCCTGGTTATTCCTGAATGCCCGGCTCCCCTCCTGGGACGAGACTTGTGAACCAAACTGGGGGCGAAAATCTCCTTTGAGCCCCAAGGACCTCAGGTGACATTCTGTAACCCAAAGGTTGGGCAACCCATGGTTACAGTGTTATCTCTAAAATTGGAAGATGAATATAGGCTCTATGACCACCGAGACCTCCAGCCCATCGCCCCTGCCTGGCTAACTGATTTTAAAGACTCTTGGGCCAAGACAGCTGGGCTCGGGCTGGCAAGCCAGCAACTGCCTGTAGTGGTCACTCTAAAAGCCACCGCCTCCCCTATTCGAGTTAAACAATATCCCATTAATAGAGAAGCTCACCTGGGGATCAAGGTACACATACAGATACTTTTAGACCAAGGGGTATTGACTCCTTGCCGGTCTGCATGGAATACTCCGCTACTCCCGGTCAAAAAGCCCGGGACAAATGACTACAGACCAGTACAGGACTTGAGGGAGGTCAACAGCAGGGTGGAAGACATTCACCCCACCGTACCCAATCCTTATAACCTCCTCAGCGGTTTAAATCCATCAAGGACTTGGTATACTGTTTTAGATTTAAAGGATGCCTTTTTCTGTTTGCCTTTACACAAAGATAGCCAGCCCTTGTTTGCGTTTGAATGGACGGACCCCGAGACTGGGTCCACCGGACAATTGACCTGGACGCGCCTCCCACAGGGCTTCAAAAATAGCCCGACCATCTTTGATGAGGCTCTACACAAGGATTTAGCCCCCTTTCGGGCTCAACACCCGAACCTCACCCTCCTCCAATATGTAGATGACTTGCTGCTGGCCGTGGACTCTGAGGGTGACTGTACCAGTGGAACTCAGGACCTCTTACGTGAGTTGGCTATCCTGGGATATAGGGCATCGGCGAAAAAGGCTCAAATTTGCAGACAAGAGGTAATTTTCCTGGGTTACTCCTTAAAAGGGGGAAAGAGATGGCTCACTGAGGCTAGAAAACAGACTGTGGTCCAGATTCCCCCTCCAAAGAGCCAAAAACAATTACGAGAGTTCCTGGGTACCGCGGGGTTTTGCCGGTTGTGGATCCCTGGGTTCGCAACCTTGGCAGCTCCCCTGTACCCGTTACTGAAGGGGGGATCTCCCTTTGTTTGGGAAAAGGACCACCAGCAGGCCTTTGATGCCATCAAGCGGGCCCTCCTATCCGCTCCGGCCCTGGCCCTTCCTAATGTGGATAAACCCTTTACTCTCTTCATTGCAGAGAAGAAAGGAATAGCGAGAGGAGTACTAACCCAGGCCTTTGGGCCATGGAGGCGTCTGGTGGCCTACCTCTCGAAAAGACTGGACACTGTGGCAAGCAGGTGGCCGCCCTGCTTAAAGGCCATCGCAGCGGCTGCTTTGCTCATCAAGGATGCTGATAAATTGACTTTGGGACAAAAAATAACAATCATTGCCCCGCATACGCTAGAAAGCATCATCCGCCAACCTCCAGACAGGTGGCTCTCAAATGCCAGAGTTACTCATTATCAGAGTCTCTTGCTCAGCAAAGACAAGGTAACTTTTGGAACCCCGGTGACTCTCAACCCGGTGACCCTGCTGCCGGAAGAAGCACCAGAACCCATCCTCCATACCTGCCAGGACATCTTGGCAGAAGAGGCCGGAGTATGGCCAGACTTATTAGAATACCCCCTACCCGATGCAGAGGTGACCTACTTCACTGATGGGAGTAGCTTCTTAATTCAAGGTAAGCGGTATGTGGGGGCGGCTGTGACTGATCATTCCAATGTTGGGTCCTCGGCCCAAAAGGCCGAACTGATCGCTTTGACTAAGGCTCTGGAGAGCTCGCCAAAGGGAAGCGGGCAAACATTTACACGGACAGCCGATATGCTTTTGCAACGGCCCACATCCATGGGGCCATATACCGCCAGCGGGGGCTTCTGACCTCCGCAGGCAAAGAAATAAAACACAAACAGGAAATCCTTCAATTGCTAGCTGCAGTTATGTTACCTCAGAAGGTGGCGATAATACACTGTAATAGCCACCAAAAAGGGACTGATCCTGTCACAAAGGGAAACAACCTGGCCGATCAGGCAGCAAAATCTGCAGCCATGGGAGGCTCACAGATGTTGGTGACTGATATCAAAGATTCTCCTCCCAAAGAGAAAGCTCAGGTTAACCAAACCCCTGAGGCATCTGACCTGACTACTTACATACAACAGGCCCACCGGCTCACCCACTTGGGAGTTAAAAAGCTGTGCCTACTGGCCCAACGCCAGGACTTCCCGGGGGCATCCCCCACTGCCATACGTCAGGTCGCCACTTGGGTTGTGACTAATTGTGAGGCATGTCAATTGACCAATGCCTACCCTGCCAAGCTGGCCCCCGGCAAAAGGCTACGCGGCACCAGACCTGGACAATACTGGGAAGTAGACTTCACAGAAGTTAAGCCTGCCCGATGTGGACTGAAATATCTGCTAGTTTTTGTGGACACCATCTCTGGATGGACTGAGGCTTTTCCTACCAAAAAGGAAACTGCTGCCATGGTAACAAAAAAGTTGATGGAAGAAATTTTTCCTCGGTTTGGATTGCCAAAGGTAATAGGGTCTGACAATGGGCCGGCGTTTGTGGCTAAGGTAAGTCAGGGACTGGCCAACATATTGGGGATTGATTGGAAGTTACATTGTGCTTATAGACCCCAAAGTTCAGGACAGGTAGAAAGAATGAATAGAACTCTTAAGGAGACCCTCACTAAATTGGCTCATGAGACTGGCTTAAAGGATTGGACGATGCTCCTGCCTTATGCCCTTTTTCGCTCTCGAAACACCCTGTCTGCCAAACCCCCTAACCTTACTCCCTTTGAGATCCTTTTTGGCACTCCACCACCTATTCGGGATCTCACTCCCTTAACTGAACATGCTGCCTTGTTGCCAACCTCCCTGTCTGACAGGCTCATCGCCCTCGACAATCTACAGAGGGACGTTTGGATGCAACTAGCCTCGGCCTACGCCTCCAGTGAGTTCCCTGCACCACATCCGTACCAAGTGGGAGACTTTGTGTTCGTCCGGCGCCACCAACAAGAGACTCTACAGCCTCACTGGAAAGGACCATACCAGGTCCTATTAACTACTCCTACAGCGGTAAAGGTTGACGGGATCGCCTCTTGGATCCACACGTCACATCTAAAGCCTGCTTCAGGGCCAGAGGACGACTCCTGGGAACTCAAATGGTCTGATAACCCCTTAAAACTTAAACTGAGCTGAAAGACTCCTTGATGCTGTTTCCGTACACTCCCCTTACATATTATTACAAAATGACCCAGCAAAGACCCCAGATTGTAACCCCCTGGGCTATAATGGAATTATTCATATTAATGTTAGTCACTCCTACAATGGCTAATCCCCACCGTCCTTGGGTCTGGACATTGAGTAGATGGGATGGCCAAAAAGAAGTCGACAGGTGGACAGGTTCAGGCCATCCAACCTTTAGTTTCTATTCATGTGATATTGTTCCTATTAATCCCAACGTTGATCACCCCCCAGGAATATATCTATGTCCCGCGTCTGTGGAAGGAAGGAGTTATTGCAATTCCCCAGGTGAATACTACTGTGCATACTGGGGATGTGAGACAATGGCCACAGCATGGACTCCCTCAATAAAAGACCGACACCTTAGCTTGTCAGCAACTGGAGGGGGCCAACATAAGGACCCTTTGCCACTGTCAAAGAGGAGCCTTCACTCCTATGACGGGGGACCAGGCAATTGCCAACATTTACAACTCAAGGTCCTCACCCCTGAGGACCAATCTTGGACAACAGGAAAAATTGGGGGATTTAGATACTATATGAGTGGACCTGACACAGGAGGGCTCATCTTTATTAAAAAGGAGCTAAAGACAGAGCCATCACTGCCAACACCTGCCCCAACAACCGCTAAAGGGCCCTCATCCCCTATGTCCGTGACTACCCAAAGCCGAGGGCCCACGACCTCACCTTGCACCCCCTCCAGGTATTTGACTAATCCTCCTGAGTCGGGACTCGTCCCTCCAACCGTGAGCTCCCTTCTTAGCCTTATACTTGGGGCTCATAAAGCCCTTAATCTTACCCATCCAGACCTGGCCCAAGCTTGTTGGTTATGTCTAAGTGCTAACCCTCCATATTATGAGGGAACCGCTCTAAATGATTCCTATACGCTGACCCCCAATTCCGACCAGTGCGATTGGGATCACGTGTTCCACACCCTTCCTTTACCTGGCCTCGCTAGCCGAGGAACCTGTATAGGGACACTTGATAATTGGCCGGCAGACCTACGCCATCGCTGCCTCACACACACCCGTTCCTTCCCCAGAAACCAATATCTCATCCCCCCCACTGGGGCATTCTGGTTATGTACTACTGGGCTCACCCCTTGTGTTTCCACAAATGTACTCCTTGCAGGGGACAGTTCCTGTATCCTCATAGACCTTATGCCACGCATTAAGTATCTCCCTCCTGACATGCTCCCCCTCATAAAAGGTCGATATAAATGGGAACCAGTCTCCTTGACCCTGGCGGTATTATTAGGGATAGGTGTAGCAGGGGGGATAGGAACTGGTACAGCAGCCCTCATTACTGGGCACCAGTCCCGCCAGCAACTCCTTGCAGTTGTAAACCAGGATCTACAGGCCTTAGAGACATCTATAACTGCATTACAACAATCTCTCTCGTCTCTATCTGAAGTAGTGTTACAAAACAGAAGAGGCTTAGATCTTTTGTTTTTAAAGGAAGGGGGCCTCTGCGCCATGCTTAGAGAAGAATGTTGTTTTTACACTGATCATACTGGGATTGTAAAAGATGCAATGGAGAAGTTGAGAGAGAGGATCAGATCCCGAGAGCCCCCTTCAAGTGAAGCCAAAGTGTTCTCTTTCTGGGAATCAATTCTGCCCTATATTCTCCCTTTATTGGGACCCCTGGCCGGATTCATTATAGTTACGGCTATAGCCCCTTGCCTCATTAACCGAGTAACCCGGTTTGTGAGGGCCCAGATTTCTCAAGTAAAAGTCATGGTGCTACGTCAACAATATGACCCCTTACCCATACAGGACCTTTAAGATTAAAAGTCATTTACAAAGAAAAAGGGGGAAATGAGAGAGTTGACTCCCCAGCTGTAACCCCCCGAATCATAGAACAGAGCAGTAAAGAATGTTTCACTCCCTAACCTAGCCCTTGAGATAATCAGAGCAGGACAGGAAGGAATGCATCTGCTAGTCATTAACCACTAGATGTTCTGTCCTCTGTAAAGATAAAGATAAGTAAAGGAATGTGCTGTTCAAACGAGACCGAGTTGTACCTGGCACTCTGAGATCAGACCAGAACCCTCAGTCTCCATGGTTACTCAGCCCCAGACCCCTCGAATCAGAATCTTCCAAGTCCTGCGCCGTTCAAAATTAACCAATGCGATCTACTTCTGTAAACCTGCTTGCTTCCCGCTTGTGCCCTTAAAAACCCTGCACAAATTCCCCTCGGGGCCCTCTGCACTCATTTGCCTGGAGAGCTGTGTGAAAGTTGAGTTCTCTAAAATGGAAATTATTGAATGATACTGCAGAGGAAAGAAATCCATGTGGTGGCATCCAGGAGGCTGTAACCAACACAGACTTAGGAATGGCACCTATTGTGCTACAGTACAAAGTGATTCCTTCCTGCAATACATCTGCAATTCACTAGACTGAGGACTTCTAAAAGCTCGTGCAAATGTTAAACCCATGGCAAACAAGCAGCTTGAAATCCAGGCTTTGCAACATGGCCTTTAGCAGACATTTCATATTCAAATTGAAATAAGAGAAATATAATCCTGCCCTGTTTGATGTCAAATGCACCAAGTTTAGTGGCTCACAACATTGAGAAAGGTAGTCACAAATCAAAGAAGGTCAAAGATTTTCTTAGAAAAAAAGAGAGAAGTATAGCCCTGAATTTTCAGGAGTGGTCTTCAGTGTTTGGCGACAGACCAATTGTCAGGAGTCATTTATACAGGAAAGTCACAATGTGGGTACAGTGTGGGTCTCAAACTACAATCAACCTATAAGCTTAAAGCTGCTTAACTAATATTATTCAGCAGGGGAGCAAGTCAGGCAGAAAAGGTATGTGGAAAGAGCCAAGGCATTTTGTGGGAACAATAGTCCAGTTGTTCTGGTCATTGAGTATGGTAATTGAGGCCTATCTGAACTTCCTGGAGGAGGTGGTTTTAACTGTAGTACATTTCAAGCTGTTGTTTTTCTCTTCAGGAGCATGTAGGCATGGTCACTGCATCTTCTCTTTCAGGTCTGGCTTTCTTCAGCTGTGCCTGTAGCAGTGATTGCTGTATTTAGTTTTTTGCATTCACTCTTTTTTTAAATTTTATTTAAGGAGAAAAAAAAGCAGAGAAAGGGTACAAGTTATACAGATTTACAGAAAAAAATAAACAGTAGGAAATCACTAGTTAATGGATTACATATTGTCATCTTAGAAATAACTGTTCAAGTCACAAAATTAAAGCTTGTAAAGTGGACATTCCAGCAGTGAGATTGCAAACGGTTCTGTTCAATGATCCAACAAAACTCAGTGATATCATTATCTATCTTATACACTTATATATACATGCAGTTATATCATTTAGAGCACTTTCTTTTCCTCTCTTTTGTACAATGACAATTACACATTTTGGGTTTTGTTGCTCCCACAGTTCTTATTACTTTTTTGGAAGGGAGTAGAATCAAATGTGACATAACAGAACAGACTCAATCAAATCAAAAGGGTGGACATAATAGATAATGTAAAAGCATAATACAAGGTGATCAACAATGGTTACCATAATGTCTCCCGCTATCTCTAATAGAATTACCTATATCAACAGTTATAATGAAATTGAACAATACAGTAAAGAACAAAACCGACAAAACCAAAACATTGGAGACATTATAGGTCTTCAAAAGTAGATAATAATCAATGAGAATGGGCGTTATAATGAATCTCACTATTTGCATTGACTCTTTTAGGTTGCATTTCCTCTCTGTATATCAATTTCTGTCTACATTGACATCCTTTGCTAAAATCACAATACTATTTGAATGGATAAAGTGATGTTTATACATTTAAAAATATTCATTAATACAGGCCAGGGATTTAGCTCAGCAGGCAGAAACACCTGCCTGGAAAGTGCTAGGTTGTAACTTTGATCCCCGGTACCTAAAAATAAAGTAACTTAAACTGCAAGGAAAGAAATAATTTCAATTATGAAAATGTAGGTTTAAAAATTTTATAACTAAATATGTAAATGGAAAATTAATCATTGTTAATAGTCATATTTAGTATCTAAAATTGTTGGGTCTGGGGATTGAGCTCAGGGATACAAGGAGCTGCCTGGAGAGCACAAGGTCATGAGTTCAATCCCTCATAGAAAAAAATAATTCATAGTTGTCAACGATGCAGTGCTATGAGCACATTTATTAAGACTGATACTTGTTAATTAATAGGCTCAATGTTTCTTTTGTGGTCTATGAAATACCAGCGGATTACATGGCAATTACCATGAATGATATACTGTCCCCTATAGGATTGCTATTTTCTGAGTTGTTTTTATTTTTTGTTTTCCCTCACACTTGAAAGTTGAAAATGTTGGCTGGTGCTAGCTAGAAAAACTGTGATAAACATTTTTTCAATTTAATGATATATTTCCCTATATTCATTAAGAACATTTTATTTGCTACAATTATTCCAAATGAAATTGATAAACAATTCTTAAAGTTACAAGCAGCTGAGTCAGATATACAGGGTGCCACACCGTGTTATAGTAGAATGAAATTCCTGACCTTCTATGTCTGGTTTGACTTTGTGTTCTCTAAAATGGAAGAATGAATTTTAGGAACAAGAGAGGTGAAGAGCAGAATATATATATTGAGAGAAAGAAGGTGAAAGAATTTTGCCCTAAATAGGATATTTTGGCAGTGGAATGAGGATCCAGGAAACTTTTATCTTGAGATCACTTTCCCCTCCCCTATGCAACTTACCTGTGTCCTGAAAAGGTCTCAATCAGGCACCTGCATACACCAATGCCACCTTTAAGCACCACCCAAATCAAAAACTGTATGTGTGCCCCACACATTTCCAGAAGAAAAAGCCAGAACCCCAGTGGTCATAGGGTTCTCTCCCTGATTTTAGAAAAAAGGCCTTTTTGACTTTATATTCTCTTCTTTACTACACCAAAAATCCTATTGGAAAGCCTCTGTCTGAGAGAAAGAGAAGGGGTTCTG